TTTTTTAATTTCTTCGTTTGCTGTTAAATAAAGGAAAGCATATAAAGGCACTTTTGTAGTTACATATTGTTCGATAACAATAGTTTATTAATTGGGATGTCTAATTTTAATACATTTTCATATATTTATACAGTATTACTAAGGAACAAAAACCTTAAATGTTAATTAATAAAAAAATAATCCTCGAACACATAATAAGGGAAATATTACACTTATTTAAAATTAAGGCATTATAATATAAAACACACAGATATTTTAAAAAAGTGAAAACAAAAAATGCATTTAGAAACTGGAAGAATTTTTAACCATTAATAACTTTTATTTTTGAAGCTCGGGATTTTATTATTTTATTTATTTATTTATTTTTTTGACTTATTATTACATTTATTACATTATTATATGTAATCATTATTTATTACATTTTTTCTTCTTTTCTGTTCAAAGTTACGAGACGGTATCGATTTCAATGGTTAATAAAAGTTCTTAAGCGTCTAAACGAAAAATATAATGCTTTTTTATTCATATAAATTCTTCTAGTACATTTTATAATTCATTTGGTATCACCTTTATATTTTCTGAGGTAAAACATGGAAAATTGTTTTCTCAATTTGGGTTTTATGATAATTTCTGCCGGTCACTATCAGATGAGAAGAAAATTGCATTAAAATAAAAATTATGGAAACAATGAATGGCGTTGAAATAAGTTTAAAAAAAGTTACATACGAAACAATTTATTTTTAAAGCGAGAAGTTCATGCTAAGCCGTCGTGACGTCACTGACTGAAATCAGAAGCTCGGAGCTGCACGAGTTTCTTCAAAGGTGCGACCTAGCCCTTTTATTCATTCTTTAGCCCTGAAACCAATCAAAAAATCCATCGGCAAATATATGGCAGTACAATTCATGTTTCCAAATTACTTCATTTACAACATTCAAAGTGGAAAGACAGATTTAGCATCGTACTGAATCACTTCTACAACTGCCTGACGCTGATCAAATATTTCTTAATATATGTAAAAATTATTTTCATTCTGATATGCGTAGTTTCCTTTAAAAAATTTCAGACTGGAGGTGTTGCAACGAGGCCTGGTTGCAGCTATATAATCTATAAAAAAAGTAAATCACAGCAGTAAAAGAAAAAAAACATGTTACTTTATATCTCCAAAATAATCTATTAATTTTTCATTTTAAGAGCATAATTATTTAGATATAACTGATAGGCTTTATAATATTCCGCATCCTCCATATTCTTTATTAACTGATGCGAAATGCAAAACATTTTCTTCGGTTCTCTATGGTTTTCAGCTTTGTGAGAAAAAAAAATTTATTTTGGGAGTTATCCGATAATAATTATTTTGCTAAAATAGATAGATGGGATAGGTAATAAGTAATTCAACGGTGATTTATAAAGTTTTTACGTTCGACTCAACTGGGAAAAATTTTAAAAGTGGTAGGACAATAATTAAAAAAATGTTTTCACTAATTCCTATCTACACCAAGTACTTTATGTTATAACCATCGTTGCACAGTTGCTCCAATTATAATTATTATTATTTTTTTGTTGAACTTTGGCAGTTCAACTTCGGAGTTTTTAGCTGAACTTTGGAAGAAAAAAATCAAAGTTCAACTCTGCAGCCTTGTAATTTTGAACTGAATACAGAAGACAAGGGAACTCCTGGATCAAGTTTTGGTAGAAAGTTGCATTCGTGGAGGACTTTTTGATGGAACTTACCCGTATTTGCGTTGCACGGAGAGGAAAACTACTAAAACCTCCCACGGTTAACCTAACGACAGGGGAACTCTAATCTATAATCCGTCTACCACTGAGGTTATTTTACTTCAACACTGTCGTCGGTGCGAGCCGGGTGCTGAATTCGTATCGACCAGCCATTGCTGGGATCGAACCAGAGGCCCCTTATTGGGAGGCGAGTGCTCTTTCCCTAGGGCCATCACGATTCCAACAAAAAGTATTTGTAAATTCCTGTAAAAATCGGTGTTAAAACCAGCCATTTTAAAGGGATCGAATTGTCTTGCCGTTCACCCATACGCTCTAGGTAGCGGGTTCGAATCTTGAAGTAAATTTGACTGCATCTTTGTGGTGCCTTTCCTTAACTTGAACAATCTGTTTTTTTCTGAACAAAGGCTAATGAGCCTGCATGAGTCATATTTAATAATAAATAAAAATATATAACTAAAGTGAAAGCCTCGTGAACATTTTTTACCACTTTTTAAATTTGACTTTGATGAGGCCACCCTGCCTTTGAGTTGACATGCTTTTCACAATTTAAAAATAATAACATTATTAAAAAAACGGATTAAATCATTTAAAATGTACGGGTGTAACTGATTATTTACCAACTTAAAATTGAATGCCAGGATTGTATGACATATTTTAATTGCTTCTTTTTACAAATAATGTGCATAATAATACGTAGTATATTAAGATGCCCAGTTTTAACAATTAGATTATGAGTGACAGTCAGGGCTGAAAGTAAAACGAAAAAATAAATAAATAAATAAAAAAAATAACAAAACCATTTCAATTGGATAACCATTTCATTTACTTCTACGGAACAAAATGAGCTCTTACTTTTCGTTATTTTATATTATTGATCACTATTCGGGTTAAAAAACAGATTTATGTATATAAGAATTAAAAAATATTAGTATCATGAATATTTCAATTTTTCCGGAAATTATGCTGTAGTCATTTTATTTCCCATTTTTTCTCAGAAAATTTATATATAATATATTTCTTTCATAAATTAGCAGTCTGTTATGGATATGTTAACTGATGTTCAGTTTTCTCAGTCATTGAGGTCCACTGGTAGAACTAATGTTTCATACGTACAGATTTTTGTTCAATTATTCTTAAGTCTTGATGCTAATTTCTAAAAGCATCTGTTTGACAGCGTCAATCAGTGATCTATTGCAATATTCATCTCAGATTTTTTTTAAGAAAATAATTCCTTTGTAATTTTATTTGCTGCTTTTTTATAAGTAACAAAATATTAAATAATAAGTTTTAGGACGAGTCCACATGACATGGGGGTAGTGTGGACGAAAACAACTTTAACAAATATTAAAAAAAGCTTGTTTAAAAAAGTGTCAATGGCTCTCATTCTTATAAGAGTTTCAAAAGAACCGAGAGTTTTTCTTTTTAAATTATTTGAGACGTATTTCATCACGAGTTATGCACGTTTTAAGAAAAAGTATTTATAAAACGCACAATAAAGATTACTTAATATCCAATTCTGTTTTCTGATAACAGTTTTTGAATGAGAAAGATTTGATAAGTTGCTTAGTTGCATACTTTGATAAGAAAAATAACAACTTTCCATGTTAAGAGTTAACAATTGAAGACAAATTCACGTGTTTGATAAAATTATTACAAAAATGATATTGCGTTGCATCTTTACCGCGACTTATAGTTCAGTTTTTATCAGGAACGTTATGTAAAAAAGGAGCAATTTCTTTTTTTTTTCTCGACATGTTATTAGTTTATTAGAATGCTATAATTCTCCACAGCAATATCTAGTTTGTATTTCAATGAAACTGTTTTTAACAACTGCCAATGTATCAAATATGACTATTTATACAAGGCGGACAACTTTCAGCGCTTTTATGGAAAACTTTATTCTAGTGGTAGCTAAATATATTTAATGTATTACTTTTTATTTATTTCAACTTTTTCTTCCACACAAATGATTTAAAAGTTCATTTGCAATGCCACATTGCTCCACCTCTCTCGAGGTCTCATCGCTTTTGAAATATTGGCAAAATTAACAAAAATTCTAAAAGCTTTGGCTGTTAGATGTCTACCATTCTATAAAATATTTTTTAAAAAGCGTAGAAGTTGACAAGCCTGCTCAAGATAAGGCAGTGTAATTAGAAATTCTAAAAGCCTTAGTTTTTAATTTTTCTACCTCATTATAAAATATTTTGCAGAAAGCGTAGCAGTAATGATGTAGTGTAGAAATCGGAGTTAAGAAGAGTTTTGAGCAAAAGGAGTTAGAGTCACTAAAAACATTTTGACTCCGACTTCAGTTATAGTTTGAATTTGCGACAAAATAAAGGTGAAAAATCTGACAAACAGAGCTATAAATTTTATTTATGGGCTGTATGCATTAATAAATATTGAGATACTTTCTATTTTATTGACATNTTGAGAAAAAAAATTCCCTGACTTTTCCAGGTATATCAGGTAAATTTCAATGAAAATCAATACCATATTTTATCTATACTATGAAATTTTTCATCAGAAAATTTTGATTCTTTTATTTGTAATGCCAAGTATTAGATATTCTATGTAAAATAAATATTATTATCTGAGGAAGGAAGCATTTCAGTTTGTCTAAAATGTGAAATTATAACAATAAATAATTGTAATAGATGTTGGAATTATTTAACTGGAATCTCAACAACTGAGTAGTGTTACTGGCAATTTTAAGACTGGTTTTTTTTTTCAGGTATAATGAAGGAATTTTCCAGGTTTTTGTAAAAAAATTTCAACTTTCCCTGAGTATGAGTGATTTTTGGAGTTGAAATAAAATTCCCTGAAAATTCCAGGTTTTCCCTGTGCTCCCTGCCCCTTGGGAACCCTGTTATAAAAAGAAATAAATATTATTTTCACTATGTGAACGAATGGAAGACAATATATTTTTACAATGTCAAATATTGTATCATTACGTTCATTGTTAACAGTGATATAACATAAATACAAAGTGATGCTACCTGTGGGATGAAAATTAATTTAAGTGTCTAATGTGAGAATAACATGTTCTTCCATTAATTTCTTTAATTATAGCTGCATGGAAAATAATTTCCATTCAATGTATTTTTAATAATTTATTTTAACACTCTATTATGAATTTATATTATTTAAATTATTTCAATGAAAGTTCTAAATCGAAGAATATTATCATGATCCACAAAAGCAAAAATAAAATTCCAGCCAGAATGAATTTTAAATAATAGGACAATTAGGAAAAAATTAGAGAAACACAGAAAAATATCTATATTTGTAAAGAATGCTTTTGTGAGAGTAAAAAAATTAAAGCAAATTGTAAAAGAACTACCTTGCTGACTTAAGTTAAAAAGAGCATCCGAAAACTTTTCTAGAATCTGCACATCTTCTGAGTAGTGAGTTACCAACATCAAAAGTTCAGTCACATAACCAGCACATGATGATTTACTTAGTTTTAAATCCCAGCTTTCTTCTCCTAAAGAAAACATTAAAAAAGTTAGGTTAAAAGTTACTAATTTTAAAAATATTTTAAAGCATTAATGACCACAGTACCTTTTTGGAGACAGTTCAAAAATTACATCATGAAAACAGAACTATTTTTTTGGGCATAAATTTTACAGAAATTATTTGCAGGCGTTCACTTTTTTTCAGTTTTATAAACTGTTACTTTTAAATTTGAAAATAAATGAATGACAAACAATTAATAATGTAAAAATGCATGCAACATTGCTTCATAGAAAATGCAGCATTTTTAAGTCAAACTTAAAAGTAGTTTCACCAATGCCAAAAAAAAGGTTAATTTGCTCAACTATTTATGAACTAATTTAAACGAAATCAACAAATATTTAAGATAAGGCAATTATAAAAATTTATTTTTTGTAATTTCCCACACTTCCAGATTTTGGCATTTCTTATAGCAAATTTTCATTACAAAAGTACAAAGTAAGAATACTACACGCAATAGAGCACTGCGTTATGGCGTAAGTAATATAATACATATAAATAATTATAATCTCAAATAATTACAATTATATATAATTACTGTGCTTTAAAGCATAAGGATAATAATAAAATATGATCTGAAAATATAAACAGGAGGGGTAGAAATTTAGGCTTAATACCATTTTTATTTCTAGTCAATTAATTTCATATTTGTGCACCTATTCCTTCAATGTTAGATTTTGAATTGATACATTTATAAAAATCTATATATAAAAATTTTAAACAATATTTTGTTTTAGAATTAATATTTTAAATATCAATTAGTAAAAATTCTTCTTTTTTCAATAAAATAGAAAAAAACCTTGCAACAAATGCAACCATTAAATAATCCATTAAAAATATATATGAATGAAAATATATAATAAATGAAAATTTTAATCAATTAATCAAGTAAATTTCACTAACCAGTTAATTGCACAAAAGGCAGAAGTGCTCGTAAGTTTTCAGAAGTAGTCAAAACATTGACTACAGCAGGACGGCCGATAGGAGAGAAAATCATAGTATACATGTGGTGGAGTACAGAAACAATTTCTGGATCATCAGGTGCTTTTTTAACACCACCTAAAAATTTTAAAACAGTAACATGAGAAGCAAATCATGAAATTAATTTATTAAGCAAAACGAGACTTTAATTCAGTTTTGTATCACATCAGAAAAACATTTTAATGAGTGCAAAATTAGTACCAAAACAGTGCAGCTAAATTTTTGATTAAAGGAAGAACATAATCTAAGATACATTTTTTTCCCCTTTCAAATCAGTTCACTTCTCATATTCAATTTCCTACAGAAAAGGCTAGATGCATGATCAGAAAGTATTTTAATTGATCATTTAGTAGTTTGAAACTAGCATTAAAATAATGTTTCGTTTGATTTAGAAGTTGTATAAGTCCACATAATTGATGGCTGGGTTGCACGATGTGAAGATTCCACGAAATAACTCCATCAACTTTTCTTATTTAAATTGTAGTAGTGTAATGCACACATGTGTTACTCTCTTTTGAATATTATTATTAGTTTTTATAATAGACTATTGGTGAAGTTCTAACATGTCTAAAAATAATTCATTAATCCTTGCCATGCAAACCCATTTTTAATGCCAATCAATATTTCAAATGTTATGAAAATATTTCAGATTATTTGAAAGTGAAAGGATTTTAAATTTATATACATTTATCAATAAATAATGTATTTAACAAAACACACCGGTTGTAAACATGAAATTATTATTAACAACAATTTTAAAAAATGTTAGATCAAACTATTTCAAAAATAAAGATTAAAAATCAAAATTAATTTAAAAATTTAGTAAAGAATATTTAAAATCTTAGAGATGCATAAAAATAAATAATTAAAGATAGCCCACAGTATAAAAATATAAACTTGAATCATTTTTATCAAGAAATTGTCAAAAAATTAACTTTCAGTATTATTAATTACTATACCTCGTTCATGATAAGCCAGTAAGGAATCTACATATAATAAGGTTTGTAAATGATATGCGATTTGCATTCCTAAGTTTTGTGCAACACTTTCTTCAGCACCTTCTTCTCTAGTTTCATCCTATTAAAAAGATGAAATTTGGACATAAAGTATGAAAGAAATATATGTTGATGAAAATTGTAGATTAGAATAAAATCTAAATTTTTCCATAGTTTAAAAATTATAGTTTATTATGTCACTACAGTTTCACTAGCCAAAGCTAAAATTTGTAGATATGTGCAATCCACAATTAGCCTCCTTGCTCATTGTTTCATAAAAAAAATTAAACCAGTTTATTAAATTAAAAAAAACAATATGGGTTCATACTTGATCTTAAGATTTTATATTACTTTTTTTAATGATGTTGGTTTAATATATTAATCTTTATTTTTGTTGCTGCAGTTGTCTCTTAATCTTGTCATTGTATATTCACTTCTAAATACAAATTTTTCAAATGTGCACTTATTTAGATCTAAAAGAAAGAGTTATTCATCACTGAATTTCTTTAATTTTAAAGTCATTATTGATATATTTATAATTATAAATGACAAAAATAAATATATATATATATATATAGTGTTAAGCTTTCAGAAGTTCAAGGGACCGATAATAAAGAAAGTAAACAAGTATTTTTGATCATCCTATACCAGAAAATCAAGCTGTAGCAGTATGCTTGTAATTTCTATAGATTACTTAGGGTAATTGTTGCAACAAAAGCATAAAATAAACTTCGCTAAAATATTTATGTAAATACGAATATTTTGTTTTTAATAAAACACCAAATTTTTCGGTCACTAAACTTTTTGCTATAACTTTACAAATATTTATTAAAATATAACAAAACTCTTGGGGACCTTTCAAATTATTACAAAATTATTGCTTTAAAATTTGAAGAGAAAAAAATCATTAAACGCTTTGCAATATATGAGTATTTAAAGCAGTTCTCTTTTAATGAAATACTAATGAAAAAAAAGATTTGAATATCTTAAAAATTGAAGAAGTAAATTATTAATTAGTTTTTCTTTTTAATAAAAAAAATCTTAAAATTATGAGGCTTTTTTTCACAAATTTCAATTTTGCCTTATGAAACAAGACTTATTAAAAAATGACACCGACATTGAGGTGGATCGTCCCCCATAAAAATATGTTTTCTTTCACATGTAATTTGTTTCATCTACATTTATGTGTACGAATGATTATTGTAAAGAATTATCATTTGCTATTAAATTTTGTTTTATGATATAAAATGAAATGTGTGGAAAAACCCTTATTGGTTTGAACTATCTTTTAAAAATACACAAGTTACCTAGAAAAATACTTTAGACATTTTAAAATTTTTAAGATATACAAATTAGAATTTTTTCATTAGTTGCCAAATACGTTTCACTACAAAATTGAGTAAATTTTTGTTAAAATTTTTGTTAAATTTTTTTGCAAATTTTTTTGTTAAAATATAAAAGAACAACTTTAAATAATCATATCTTGTTCAGTTTTTAATAGTTTTTTTTAAGTTTTAAAACAAAAATTTGGAAATTATTTTTAAATTTCTTCAATTTTTTAAAAATTTTATAGAAGATTTTTAAAGTTACAGTAAAAAGTAATCTAATTTTTTTATACATATGTCCATATCTCTATAAATATTTAAACCAAGTTTCGATAGTTTATGCAGATATTGCAAACAACAGTTAAAGGAATCGATTTAAAATTAGGCAGTAGTTACAAGCCATTTATTATTTGGTTTTTTCTCCCATTTATGTCCCTAAGAAAGAGGGATATTGTGTGAATTTAGAAGGATAATTTTAAGTTATAGACTGAAAAAAAACTGAATAAAATACAATCCACCTTGCGCATATTGGTTCTGATTAAAAATAACTGGAAATTAATTCATTAATTTTAAAAATAATAATTAATTAAGTATAAACAAAATTCTAAAAAAAGTAAGCAAAATGTACATTGAAATAGCGGTGGATACTTGGGTTAAAATGCATATTCTGCCCGAATTAATAAAACTGATATAGATATATAAACAAATTTTCTCCTTATTCGCGACATTATAAATATTTCCAAAACATTGAATATCGTTATACAAGCGACATTGGATTGATTCGTTTTCTTTTTATTGCTTTTGTAACAGGGTTGCCTTTACCAGGAAGAATCAAAAATTGGCACTGTAAATTTAAAGAAAAAAAATTTATTTTACTGCGTTCTATCTAGTAAGATACATCTGTAAATCAAGGGATATGAATCAAGATATTAAAAATTACAATCTTAATTCTTAAAAAGTAAACAAAATAATAATAACAATAATTAAAGAAATAAGCCTTTAAAATATTCAACTGCCTTTTTGAACACTTCCCCCTACTTCTAAATTTTTATTTGTAACTGTCACCCTGAGTAACTCAGCTTTAAATTCTGTGAATTTTTTTTGATCTCTGTTGACAGTTAAAAAAATGTCATTGAATCTGAAAGCTGATGTTATTATAAAGTAAAGAGTAATTTCTTTATTATACAATGATGAATGCTTTTTAACATTTCTAGATATAGCGGTGGTCACAAATGTGTTAAATGATCGAGATTTTTCTTTTATGTGACCATATTTGTTTTTTGAATTTGTAAGGCTTGTTGGATCCCTGGGATGGGCATCAAGGGGTTAAGACAAGTTATAAACATTCATGGAGAATTAAATGTTCTTAGAGGAATGTATAAATGCTCATTATTACCTATTTTGCAGTATTAATAATTTAGAAATTTAATCGAATCGAGAAAAAAATAAGTTTACCAATACAATTTTTAAAGTTAAACAGAATAAAATTCGATCCCCGCATTAAGTTAACACACTGCTGACCGGTCACGAGTTAACTCGTATTTTCGTAGTCAAGGGTTGGTGACCGGTCATGAGTTAACTCGTGGTGACTATTTTAAAAAGTGGGCGTAATTTTCCTTACTTTTCAAGTTTTACTATTTAATTCCTTACCAATTTATTATAACTTTGTGTAATTCAACTTAAAGAAACATCAGTGTGACTTCTGCAGCTGCAGATTAGAAGACAAATAACTTATATTAGGCTGTAAAATATTATTTTAACCGGTGAACGCCCTGCGTCATATATTTAGGACAGTTCCTTTTTTCAAAGACATTCATTGAGGTGGGAAACTTATTTCAGTATTTTCATTTATCTGGGTGAATTAAAAGATTCTCAGATACCACAATGATTTAGTTATTTCTGACTAGATGTAGAAAAATAAGGAGCTAGTACTTTTTAATCTATCAAAGACTTTTTGAATGCCCTAACTGTAGAAAAACCAATTAATTTCGATAATATATTTTACCACTTTTTGTATCATTTCAATATATGTATTCGGGACAAAACGGGTTAAGCAGGTCTGTTAATTTTTTTTTTGCTAGTTGTTTACTGTTAGCTTGTTTTTTTTATGGTAATTAATTGATTTTTGGCATTAATTGTAATTTTTTTGTTAATAATTGTTTATATTTTTATGTTTATTTTTGTGAATTTTAATTTAATTGGTAAATTACTTCACAGTGAACTTCGTGATCGGTGGCGTGCCATAAATCGCACGCGCGCCATTGGTTCGCCATCCCTGTCATACGGCATTAAAAATTTTTAAAGTTTACTTATATTATTTTGCATCCATATCAGCTTTCAAAACAATAGCCGGGCACATGGGGTAATTTTCAGAAAAGTTGCCAGTCAGCAATGTGTTAGGAGAACACAAAATCTTAATAAAATAAAACAACTGAATTAAAATTGAATAAAGTTATAAATTATATTTTAAAAAATTATGCCCAAATGTTGCAATAAAATCAAAATTTCGAAATAAAAATAGTTTCGGAATTTAAAGTTTTTAAACTATTCTTTTTATCAGTTGATCTCATTCAAACAAAACATGACGTAAACAACCTTTTATAGAATCCCGTTCGTAATATCTCTCTGGTACTTCAGACCTTTCCGAATATTCGATTGCAAATCTAAAGGTCCACACAAAATTCTTATCAGAATTCGAACTTAACAGTCGGTCTGATAAAAAGACAAGCACTTCAACATTTTCATTAGTTCGAACATATTCGATGTGTGGTTCTCAGGGCTTGAATCCTAAATTTTCTACTTTAATGAAACGGAAATTAACGATATTTCGCTTCCTTCTCTTGAAAGTTTTGGAACACAAGGCTCGAATCCTTGTTCCAATTTGAGATTACCTAATAGCTTATAAAGTAGGATTTATTTTTTTCCACCTGTTTAAACAGTTGTAATTCTGTGATCACATTCAGTTGGCGCATTAAATATGAAACCGACGCTTGGCGATTACAACAACAGCTGTAATGAAAGAACCCCTATACTAAGCGACGAGGAGTCATCATGTTCATCCGGTTAGTAAATTATAAATTATTTACAATGTCACATATAGGGGTGCAAGCTGCGCCAAAATTTATAAAAGTGTGATAGTTTATTGAAAAATATTTTTAACCTTTTTTTAACGGCCTTTTAACCTTTTTCGTACTTAGTATGATGAAACCATTCTAGTCCACTTATTGTACCAGTCGTAAAAGAAGGTTAAATATTATAAAACAATTTGTTTACATAAAACATAGGCATGCATTCAAAAATCAATTATAGAAATACATTCTGAAATATTGAAAACTTGTTTTGATGGCGAGAATACGTTATTTAACTGGAAAAGAAATAAAAGTAAATCATTTTATTGCCACTTTAATTTTCGAGGCGCAGCGTGCACCACTGTAGATATCCATCGTAGTCAACATTTGCTGTTTTTGTATAAAACATTTCTTAGAGAATATAAAAAAAGTTGTGGTGACAATTTGAGATGCTGTTTTTAAGGTTAACATAAGCATAAAATGCAGAAGTTTATTTCACTAGTATCTAATAATATATGAAAATTATACTGTTCGAAATAGGCGTGGTTTTTTACACCTCTTTTGTTCTTAAATATCACATTACTACCTTGTAAATAAAATTTATATAGTTTTCATTATTCTATTATTCTTTTACTTAATTGTTACTTTATATTACTATAGATTACAATGTATATATACTGACAGCTATCGATATCTGAGATATCATAGCTGAAAACCTTTCCTGCTTTTGAAGAAAGCATTTCTTAGTGTTAGTAAAGTAACAATAGTGGAGACTCTTCTTTAGAGACTTTTTAAGATTATCATAAGCATAAAACGCAGAAGTAATTTCCCCTAGCACCTAATAATATTTAATAAGTATGTTGTTTTAAGTAAGCTTTGATTATAACATCTGTTGCTCTTAAATACAGTATTCCTACTTGATAAATATAATGTACATAGTTATCATTATTCCATTATCTTATTAATAATATTTCGCAATTCTTAAACAACGAGACAAATTGCATTATTTATTATAAACAGATATTGTTTACACTTTATTACAACATTACGTAAGCAAAGTATTTATCACACATAAAATTTTTAAGCTAATAAGTATCAGAGCTTCAATCTAGTTTTCTAAATGTTTATGTTTCAATGTATTATTCCCTGAATTGAAATTTTGATTTAAAGTTATTTTTCGCAACACTATATGTAAATGATTAATTAACTCATATGAAACGCTACTTCCTATAAAATATTATAGAATAACTGAAGTTATTCTAATTTTTTAAAAAATGCAGTTTACATTAAAAACTAATTTAGTTATTTTAAAGTTATAGAGAGCTATTGAATTTTGTTTGAAGTTTCCATTTAGTTGTGATTGTTTTGAATTGTTTGCTTACAGTTTTTTTCACAACTGTCAGGTTCTTAAATTGTTGGTAAAATTATCAAAAAATCTTGTCTATCACTCTATTTTGCTAAAAGCATAGTAGTTTGCAGCCTTGATGCTAGCTAAAGTAATAGTTGCATTGATAACTGTGAGCGGAATTCCTTGCATGGTTTTTAAGACTTCATCAACACCTATAATTATATCAAATAATTACTAAGTTTTATTGGGTATAACTATAAATAAAAATCTAATATCGATGTTGCAGCTATCGGTTTTTTTTATTAGCCGGAAAATCACATTGTAGGATCCAGTTTACCCAAATAAATTTTTATATTTATTTGGCTCAGCAAAAAATTAATGAAGGTGGGTTTTTTTCTGTAAAATATTTTTCTTACCCAAATTTAAAGGTAATATTTAATGCCTGTAATGTAAACCTGTAATATTTACATTTCTTTTCTACCTGCTATTATTACGTTTTCGATTGTGATTGGTTTCTAAATTAAGAGTTTAAAACAAAAAGAATTGCTTATTTATTATAACGCAATTATATATTATTACTCAGCATTTTAAGATAAACTTCTTTGAATCATTACCTTAACTAATGAAACATCTTACGATTCTTCTTAGTTTTTTTGTGTAAATTACATTCATATTTTATTATAAATTACTGTTAAAAAGACCTGTTAAATTATTAAGAACTTAAAGCTTCACATGTATAATGCCTTGCATGCATAAATTGTATTTAATATATCAGCCTATTTTGCAAGGGAAAATATTAAATTACTAGTGGGCTGCGCCCCCAGCTCGCTAACGCTCGCCAACCCCCGAAAATTGCTACGCAATCTTATATGGTTTGCTTCGCAAACCAAGCTCGCTTCGTTCGCTACTAATTTAGGTACATTGCAAATGCACAAAATTCTAAGAATTTAAAACAATCATTCAAATCCATATAACAACTTTTTTTTAAAAAAAAAATTGCATCTTTTAGTAAATACTAAGTCATTAAAATAAATTTGAATTCAAATAAATGACATGTAATTCGTTAAACCTATTAGAAATGTGCTATAGTATAAAATCTTAAGATAAAATTTCTAAAACTGATATCTCTTTAAAAAGGTTAAAATTTTGGCTATAATTAAGTCTATTAAAAATT